AGAGGCCTCAGCTGGCCGGCGCCGCTTCGCGGGCCGGCATCCCACACGGCGCTCGGCGAGCTCACGCCGCGAGCTCGGCTGCAGTTTCTCGATGTCCCGGGCAGTACATGCGTGTGCAGGCGTGTCCTGGGTCTCAGCCGGGTCTCAGGTGGACAAGCTTGTTCTAAATGTTAACGGAAAAGGAAAAGAGACTAGAATAGCTCGTTTTTCTTAAAAGGAATCAAGTGGAATCCAGTTGCCTGTTCCAGGAGTTTTATTTTGTATGTTCCTTGGGGTTTTGTACGTAGACCTTCCTATCTTTTGCAAATAGGGACAGTTCCTCGTTTCTTTCCCTCCCTTTGTTTCTTTCTGGTTTTTTTTAAAATCTCACCTGAGGATGTTTTTTCCATTGCTTTTCAGAGAGAGCGGAAGGGAGAGAGAGACACACACACAGTGATTGGTTGCGTCCTGTACGCACCCCGACCACGGCAGGGGGTCGAGCCTGTAACTGAGGTGCGTGCCCTTGGCCGGAATCAAACCCAGGAACCTTCAGTCTGCAGGCTGAGCTCTAACCACTGAGCACACTGGCCAGGGCCGGCTTCTGTTCCGACCTGTTTGCCCCGTGTTTCCTTTTCTTGCCTTATTGCATTGGCCGGCGATTCTAGCACCCGGTGAACGGGAAGGGGAGGCGGCCCCTCCCTGCCTCACGGAGGACGGCGGGAGCAGGGAGTCCCTCCCCCGACTGTGATGTTAGCTGTAGGTGCTGTTCACCTCGTCGGGGAGGGTCCCCTCCATTCCCAGCTTTCTGACCAGTTATATCCCGAATGGGTGTCGAGTCCCATCGAAAGCTTTCTCTGCATCAGGGATGTGACCGTGGGAGTTTTCCTCTGTAACCTGTTAACCGGGTGGGTTGCGTTGACGTTGAAATGTTCAAACAGCCCCGCGTCTCTAGAGGTGGGCGTGGGGTCTGCTTCCAGGGAGTCTGCTGACTCCTGTTTGCTTGTATCGTGCTAAGAAGTTTTCATCTGTATCCGCGAGAGAATGCGGCCTGCAGGGGTCCTTCCCTTGTGCGGCCTTTGTCTGGGTCGCGTGGACGTGACGAAGCGCATTGGGAGCAGCTCCCCCCCTTCTGTTTTCTGGGTGAGCCTGTGGAGTCGGGGCTCATTCTGCCCTGGGTGTTGGGTGGATTCTGCAGTGACGCCGTCCCAGCCTGGAGGGCCCTTCTTCAGGAATTTGAAACTGTGACTTCAGCTTCTCCAGCAACTCCAGGGCTGCTCGGATGGCCCCGCACAGCGGGCGACTTGCAGACACTTATGTGTTTCGAGGGCGGGCTCGTGGGCCTGAGTTGTCAGATTTCCGTGTGCAGCCTTGTTCCTGGGTTTGCTCGGACCCCTCCGGATGCCTGTGGGGCCTGAGGCCACGTTTCCGTCTGGAGTTTGTTAGTGTCTTTTTCTTTGTCACACCAGCTGGCTGATTTGTCGATTTTATTGATATTTTCAAAGACCCAGCTTGTTGTTTCGTTGCTCTGTGCTGGGCACTGTCCCCTCCTGCGCTCGCAGGGGGTCCTGTAACCTTCCTCGCGGGGCCGCCACGTAGTTGCCGCGTAACCCCACTTACAGACGCGGAACCCCCACCCCTGAGGACGAGGTAACCCCCCTGGGGCGTCACCGCCAGCAGGTGGTGCAGCCACGATCGCGTCTCGGGTCCCAGACCCACCAGCGGGCCGGCCGTGCGCCGGGGCAGGCGGGGTGAGCGCCTGCCTCCCGTTCGCGGAGATTTGACGACAGCCCTTTCTTTCCGGCCGCAGCGCAGGGCGCTGAGAACAGCCTCCGAAAAACTCAGAAACCGCTTGTCTTTCTCGACCAACGTCGTCTACACCACCCCAGGCACCCGCGTCAACCGGTACATCGGCCGCCTCCTGGAAGCCCGGCAGACGGAGCTGGAGCTGGCGGACCTGAACTTCGTCACCCTCAAGTACAAGCAGGCCGAGCGGGAGCGGAAGGTGGGTGCCGGGCCCAGGCGGGCGGCGGCCTTCTCGACGCCCTGTGGCTCCCGGCGGCCCCCGCGTGCCTCCCGGGGACGCCAGGCCTGACCGGGGGCTCCGTCCGCAGTACCACCAGCTGCAGGACGAACACTTCACCAGCGCCGTGGGGCTCGCCCTGGTCCTGGCCGCCCTGTTCGGCCTCGTCTACCTGCTGATAATCCCGCAGTGAGTGTGGCTCCCGCCTGGATACGTCTCTGAGTTTCCAGAAGGCCCGTGCGTGCCCCCCCCCGCCCCCCGCAAGCACTGTGAGCATATTGTGTCCCCTGGGCGGCCCCACCTGGGGCTCAGGCTTTCCTAGAAGAGCCAGCGCCAGGCAGCCAAGTCCGCTCAGCTCCCCCTTCCTCATGGGGGGGGCCTCTCGCAAACTCAGGACTTGGGAGATTCTGGGGGAGAGGTTGGGTCTCCCAGGGACCCTGTCCTGGAAGGGAACCAGCCTTTGCGAGTCCCCAGGGACTCCTGCTGCTTCCCGGGGGCAGGGGGACAGCTGGGGTT